GCAAAGTAATATCACATGAAATGATCTGTGTGTAAACTTTAAAGCGAAACATAATCTCATGCATCACCCCAATTATCATCATAAAAATAAATGTTAATCAGTTTCAGTTTTACTATGTTTGAAGTGGTTACGTTATCACCTAAACTGGCGAATGGAACGAAGGTCTGTGACAAAACAACAGGACAAACTAAGGTATTCCAATTCACCTCATTCCTGCTAACTAGAGGGAGAATACCAGATTCGGATGAGGGAAAGGTATATTGCACAAGCAACCAGAAGCTCGAACGAACCAAGCATACAACTCGAGCGCATATATAGTATAAAATTGTCCTTAGGAAACGTCATAAAATGGCGTATTCAAAGAGGAAACGAACGAATGACATTTAGGGTCCTTCCGAGTGGGAAATTCAATCTGAAAGTAAAAACGGACGCTTTTGGCTCAAAAATGAGAAGCTCAAATTTCTAAAATAAAATGAGAAAAATAAGACGTTTACCAGTTGATTTCTGGGGATCTAGCATCCCCAACAGGTTAACTGAAAGAATAGTCTTCCTTGCAAATTCATCAATATTTATCAGCCTACTATCTTAAAATCATCCTTAAAAAACCTCATTCGTGAATACTGTGTCGCATATCATTACTTGGACGTTGAAAATCTTAACAGCTAGTGCAATTATGTCATTTTATATATTATTCAATCTCGAGAGTGAAACACTGAATAGTGTTATCCAACAGTATTTTTAAAATAAATTGTACTAGTCATGTGATACTAACATAGAGTATCAGGGTGACTTTGACTGCAAATTATCTAAATTGTAGATCAAAGACTGCTCTTAACAAGGTCTCATTTAAGTCCTTACGTAATCAATAAACATATTGATGTAGTTCCAACTTACGAGAACAAGGTCAGTTTATCACATGATCATTTTGACAAAAAAATAATTCATGGAAGTTAAAAAAAATACATAAAGACAAATAGAACATCTGAAGATCATTAGAACAGGTTATTTTGACAACTCCGAAAAGCACATTTGGGTAATGTTCGTGTAGAATGGCAATGAACGATTTACAATTGAAACCATCCAGCTTAGAGAACAAACTATAATGAAAATTACTACAAACCATCTCAAGTTAATAAAACATTATTTTTGAATCAATAATTTTTTGATGTTATGGTCGGAGCTAATTGACAGGAAACTGAATATATGTTTCATGGAATTTGTCACTCATTGAACCCATCAAAAAACAGCCCTTTTAAGATTCTGAGTACCCATCAGTGACGAGTGCAAAATACCACAAAACCTAGATCGAACAGGGTTTCCTGTCGATTATTTCCAATTGCCAATTATCAAAACATAGTATATAGAATCTTCAAACATTTACATATATGATCACATTACAAATAGAATTTGACTCGGAAACACAGCATGTTAGTTACTTCTCACTAATCCATCAATGTAAATATTCTTTTGTTTAAGTATAAGCATTGAAAAGTTAACAATAGTGAACTTTAGACTAAACAATACACAACCCATGTCACACAAAAAACAACAACAAAGTTAACAGACCTTTGTAAACATATTGTTGTTCAATGGATTATCATTGATATCTTCTTTATTCATCAATTTATTTACATATATTTTTCTCTTAAACCGTTTTTCATTTTGGTGCAAATACAAAGGGGTATGGAATATATGATGGTTATATGAAGAAAAAGTGAAATTTTAAATAAATACCTTCTATCAAGAAATAAGGGCGGTCATGAAAATTTATCCTCGGTTTTAGTAGAATAACAAAATCGTTTGATTATTGGACATATTTGTATTGTTCATTTTGTGCATGTTTATATGTATATATGTGTTCACGTTTCTTGTTATATATTCTTATTTCAGTAGTATGATTTGATTTCTACTTTTAATATACCTTGTCATTTACATAGATAACACATGTGTAAATATAACCTTGTTTGTTTTATTACAGTAAGAGAGATATTTCAGATAACTTTCTTAGAGTTTATACATTTTTATGTAACATTGAACTATACAGATATTGCCTGTTTATTGTTTATAATACAATATAGGTTGTAATTTAAATACTTAATAATGAAGGAACTATATGTGTAATCTGTCAGTTAACCGGTATACATTAAGTATGTGTATACATATAAATATGAGATCAGTTACATGAATTTTGTTAAATAATCAATGTCTATTGTACTCCAATGTTCAGTTGATCGATTTTTAGTAGTAATAGTTTGAATTTTTGCCAATTTTTTTTGTTTGTTTGATTTCTCATAAATTTTAAATATTTTCAGGTGTTTTGTGGAGATTTTAGAAATTTCACTGATTGAAATCATGGGTCAATTAAAGCTAGAACACCATGGAAAAGCACTGGACGGCCGTTCCGTCCTAGTACGGGACTCCTTGGAAGTGCGCATCCACGACCCCGCACCCCGCGAGATCCGAGCCCAGGACCTATCAGTCTCGCACCAAGCGTCTGATCAACTAGACCACTGAACCGTAACCCAATGGTGTTAATGTCTAACTTCAACCAATCCATGAAGTCGCTCCACCGTACACCATTGTCTTCAGTGAGTTGATATCTCACAACAGACCTAGTTGAACTCGACTGGTAACGGTTTCCCACTAGAACTCCAAGAGTATCTCTTGAAGTCAGTTACTAGTGAGCATATGATGCGGAGTCCCATACTAGGACGAAACGGCCATCCAGTGCTTTCAGGTTTTCCATGGTGGTCTAGCTTCAATTGACTCATGATTTCAATCAGTGAAATTTTAAATATTTGTTTATTTCGCTAAATATACAAGGAATTTCATAATAATCATGTTCTACTATATTATCTTTTCTAATAATGTCATCCGAAATAATTGTACCTAGGATATTCGACTTTGTACTGATTGATCATTCAGAAAGTGGTGAATAACATGTTTATCTAGTTCTTAGTGCTATTCGAGTTCCAACAACCAATCTGTTATCTGACTTACTTACTTACTTACTTACGCCTGTTACTCCTAATGAAGCATAGGCCACCGACCAGCATTCTCCAACTCATTCTGTCCTGTGCCTTCTTTTCTAGTTCCATCCAATTCTTGTTCATTTTTCTCATGTCTATGTCCATTTTCCGGCGTAATGTGTTCTTTGGTCTTCCTCTCTTGTTTTGACCTTGAGAATTCCATGTGAGGGCTTGTCTTGTGACGCAGTTAGGTGATTTCCTTAATGCGTGTATTATCCACTTCCATCGCTTCTTCCTTATTTCTTCCTCTACTGGGATCTGGTTTGTTCCCTCCCACAGTAGGTTGTTGCTGATCGTGTCAGGTCAACGGATCCGTAGTATTTTGCGTAGATACCTATTAATAAACACCTATATCTTCTGGATGATGGCTTTCGCAGTTCTCCAATTTTCCACCCCCTGTTATATGACTACGATAATGCATATACTATTTTTTGATGTTAAATGTCTGGTAACAATCAGAATGAAACTGTAGATTTAGGTCTACTGATAGATGGGATTAGTTAGCTCAATAGTTGTTAGTCTTACTATGGGACTAAGTAACACGAATTCAAAACTCACAAAAAGTATTATTTCTTTTAAGATTCCATATATTTCTTGTTGTAAATCACTAACTTGGATGAAACATTTTCAGATAATCAAACAACTTTATCGAAAATAAACTGATATTATAAATTGATTAAACTTGTCAAGGTGACTTCATTGAATGAAAATGGATCCCATTGAATAGTGATATCAGGAGGGAAATTGAGTTACTGAAATATCTATTCCTCAATAAGTTACTGGATTGACTTAAAGGACGCTTTAGGGTCTCCGGTTACTTTTCAGAATTTGTTAAGGTAATAAAAAAAATTAATATTCATGAATAATACAAGTACTTTGAACAATTTATCCAAGATTCTACTGTGTTACAATTTATTGTATAAAAGCTGTAAAAGATATACTTAACAGTTGTACAAACAATATCTTATTGATCGAATGAGTATGAAAGCATTTGCCCTATGACTCCGTTTTTGAATAACTAATTATTTGTTCATTATATATATTATAGGCTCATCATTGATCATCTGTTGTTTCGTCCTGTTTGGTTAATAAAATCGATTATTATTTAATTATGTAAACACATAAACATCAGTACAAAGAGTCATCAAATATACGTGTGCCACACTTCATCATTTGATTTGTGTGTGAAGACAAAGATTCTGTCCGGGTGTCCAAACTGAATCAGGTGGTTTTCGTAGGAGACCAACCACTCATCCGACTATTCATCTAGAGGTCTAATTCATAAGGCAGTGGAGCAACGTTAGGAGGTCCAGTTCCATGGTAGTCGGTGACCAACAATAGGTTCACATGTCATTTGTTCCCTCAGGATCCTGCAATTCATATGCACTATTGATTTGGAATCAGGATTTTCCAACTCGTCTAGGTGAATGCTCCATATCCACTAACCCTGTTAAGGCATCGGACATTCGCTTTTCGTCCTCTCAATTTCGTGAACGAAAGTAATGTCGCGAGAAGGCAGTGTATAGACGCAGCCATGTGAGAGCATTTCGAGCGAGAGAGCTGACTCTCCCTACCACCTACCGTACCATGGCATTTTATTACTATCGTCATTATTTTTTATTTTTTGATAATAAATTATTTTTGCATAATGTAGCATAGTTTCTAGTGTGTTGTTGCATGCAGGAAATTCCACATTACTAGTATGTTTTATTGATTGAGTATGTATAGATTAGTTTAAAGTTGTAGAAAAAATGATTTCCCTCTTTTCTGGATAGTTTTTTCTTTGAAGCTAGTTTTTAGCTTCCATTTCTTTTTGACTGAATTTTTGTGACTTGGCTTGTTGCCAAAATATAGTTTTAAGCGGGAAAAATCTATAAACAGAACAGTCATTCTATTTACTTATTGTTACTTGTTGTAAGCAAAAAAGCAGTAGAATACAATTTCCGTCTTGTATTTTTACTTTGAATATAGCATTGCTATCCATCCTGATCGTATTACTGTGGCTACTGGTCAGTCTGCAGGACATGATAAACAGTTTGGAAAAGTGAGTACTGTTTTTTTCTTCTGTCAGTTTGTAATTATGTGATACTATTACGGAGAATGTGTAATGCCGATGAAGTCAGATATGTAGAGTTTCATATAATAGTACAGCGTATTCACTAAATAATCATTGGATAAAATGTCTAGAATACCTTTTTCCCATTTTATGAAATGGTGAGTAACATCGGAGGTACAACCTGCGATCATTGACATGAAATAAGTTCTTAAGGTCATTGATTGTTGCGCTGTGTATCGCGGAGCTCAAACGTTAGTTGTGAAATTACAGACGGGACAAACTATTGAAAAAAGTCAATGATTTACCTACTTAATGTCTCAGCCTACGTGTTATAGTCGAATCGGACCTCAGAAAACAACAATGATTTCATATTTCTCAGTCTTATGAGTTCTTTTGCACTCTATTCTCTTTTTTTACATAATACTGAAGATACTGATTTTACTACGATTACTCTGATTTCCATCTGGAAGAACTTGGACTGATATATATGTGTATACGAAGCACACTTCGTTTTTATCCTTAATCAACTGAATTATTTCTGTTCTTTTTAATACAAATAACTACATGACATACATGCCTCGTAAAATACGGTAATCTGTGGAATCTGTTTAACTCCAATTCCCCAGTGAAAATTACGTCCTTATACGTATCACTGACCCACAAGGTGAACAGTTCAGTTCATCATTTGTGTGTGGGCTGTGATACTGCCCGGGTGCCCAAACCGAAGCAGGTGGTTATCTTAGGGGGCCACTCCCCGAGCCTTTGACCTAAAGGTCTAACCCACAAGGCAGTGGAGCATCGTAAGGAGATGCAGTCCCATGGTAGCCGGTGACCAACGATTGGTTCATACGCCATTCGTTCCCGCAGGATACTGGAGCCCATGTGCACCATTGGTTTGGAATCCGGTTAAAGCGCCGGACATTCGCTTCTCGTCCTCTCATTTTCGTAAACAACACCCCCGCCACGAGAAGGCAATGAGTAGGACTTCCCTGGCAGAGGCTATATACGCGTGGCCGTGTGAGAGTATTTCGAGAGGGAGAGCGGACTCTCCCCACTCTCGGCCGTACCAGGGCATTCAGGGGGCACAAGGTGAACAGAGAAAATGTTGGACTTCGCACTTTTATTGAATGTCAAAAGAGATGGTTCCAATCACTGCTCCAATTCGTCCCTAATTGTGTAGTTTTTGTTACGTTTATGAAATTTTAAGCGACTTAGTTACTTCCGCCTTCTTAGCTGTTAATAAGTTGCAAGTTTTCCGTCATCATATATTGAATTTATTAGAAAATTTCAATAGTTGTTATCTTACATATGAGTGATTCGTCAGTAAATTATACTTTTGCCTTTCCAATGAACAGAAGAATACTTGAAAATGCTAGATATCACAACTTTATAAAATACTGAAACAGTATGGTTATCCTCACACCTGACTGATCTGTCATATCTGACTGTACAGTTAATTGTTCACGGAAACGGTGAAAAATTCTGAAAACTGTAAATTCAACATTAAATGGTATTTGGCCGAAATTTTGAATTTTTTTAAAAGAAAATAGTTTCTTAAACTATATTTTGGATATCGTCATCGTTACTAATATATTATTTATAGTTGCCTAGCAACATGTTGTATATCTTCTCTAACAGGTTATTAATTACAAGATACGAGTATTTGACTATGAAAACTCAAACATCTATTCAGTGTATTAATCTCAGTTAAATAATTCGATTAGCAAACGACATAGCGTATTTGCAATCACCTCTTTAGTCAAATAATTTTATAGTGACTAGTGCAGAAGATAATTAGGAAAAGATAGATAATGTACAAACAAAAAATTATTTCACATTGTGTTGTCGGTAATCATTTGATGTCTTTAATATGCTGAGAATATAAGATTTCAAAACGTATATAAAGTTTTGATTGGTAGGGTTCAGACATGTCATAAGTGAAGCAGTAGTCATCAATGGAACTTAATAAATAAACATCGTGACATATCCTGAAGTGATGGACACTGACCCTGTCGTTTTAATGGTTAAGTGTTCTTTGCAACATCTGAAGATCTTACGTTTGACTCCTATCGGCGATGTGGATAATGCCAAGGAGTCTTATTCTTAGATGAAACAAATGTTCAGTGTTCTCTGGTTTTCATTGATATCCCAACTGAGATTAATCTGTGACAAAACTTACCAATTAAATTCTATCTCTTAGATTCGATCATGACCGTCTCTATATTATGATGGTTTCTCTTTCGTTAAATTTTAATGATCCTGTTACTTACTCCATAACTGATGATTTTTGTTTAATGTTATCTGAATAATTTATCCTCCTCCATAATTTTCGTCTTTCGTGAATTTCTTTGTTTACTGTTGGTCCTTAAGTTTCATGTAATCGGTAATTGAGATGTTTTTTCGTTACTTTGAATTGTTGTGACCAGTAGCGAACTACTGAAACTAAGTCGACTTTTTTCCCCTAGTTGTGGACTACTACACATCCCTTCATTAAGTTAGACCCAAAACATTCATGCTTTGCTGAGAACATTATGCCTTTAGAACATTGAGTTGGAATATTATAGTCTCATTACACTCAGTCTGTGATACTACATGATCAGTCTATTAGTCAATTATAAGCAACGTAGAACCTGGTATAGATGCATATCAGACCAAGTTATCATGTCATATCACTGTAAGATGGGGTAAAAAATGAATATCAAGATGACAGGAGTAGTAAGAGTAGTACCAATCGTAGTATAATAATATTAGTAGGAATTCTATTTGGTTCGAGGAATAATGAAACCATGGAACAAAATGCATGAAATAGTTTTTGGAAACACAAGATCTGGGACCATAAAGTAAATGAATAAGTCCATCTTCACTACTCCGGCTGATTTTTAACCATGTCACTCAACATCTCTAACAATCAATAATTATTATCGTATATGAATCTTGATCAGACAGTCTTCATCTACCAAAACAACTCAAACCAATAGTAATAGAGTTTTTCGTCTTATGCCTGTATCGTAGTCCACCTATTTCTAGTTTTCTTTGTGAGTCCACTCTTTCGCTCGAAATGCTCTTATATGGCTACGTCTATACAACCACTACCACAGAAGTCCTATTCACTGCCTTCTTGCGACACTACTTTCGTTCACGAAATTGAGAGGATGAAAAGCGAATGTCCGATGCCTTAACAGGGTTAGTGGATATGGAGCATTCACCTAGACGAGTTGGAAAATCCTGATTCCAAATCAATAGTGCACATGAATTGCAGGATCCTGAGGGAACAAATGACATGTGAACCTATTGTTGGTCACCGACTACCATGGAACTGGACCTCCTAACGTTGTTCCACTGCCTTATGAATTAGACCTCTAGATGAATAGTCGGATGAGTGGTTGGTCTCCTACGAAAACCACCTGATTCAGTTTGGACACCCGGACAGAATCTTTGTCTTCACACACAAATCAAATGATGAAGTGTGGCACACGTATATTTGATGACTCTTTGTACTGATGTTTATGTGTTTACATAAATATTAACATATGGTTAATGTTCAATTATTTTCAATGATAATCAACTGTAGTACAATGTTGTATGCGGTTTATTTTTAATGAATGATACTTTTTAATGATATCACTCATGAAACGGATAAAAATGGATGAGAAAACAATGTAACTATTTTTTTATTGTGTGGGTCGTGAAATTAATATAACATAATGTTCTCTCTCTCTTATTTCTCTTAATTGATTATTGACAAGGAATTTATTTATCAAAATAGAAGTGAATTAGAAAGAATTATATTTTAAAATGTTCAGGCATTCATACAATAGTAATGAATTCATCAATCTACTGTTTATTGACACAGTAGAAGATATACGAGAAGTCATTAGTGTATTTGAAATGAAAAAGATCTATTAAGGAAAATATTTTACATCACGGATAGAGTTTAGTCTATATAACCGCCCCTAAATGCCCTGGTACGGACGAGGGATGAGAGTCCGCTCTCCCTCTTGAAATGCTCTCACATGGCCACACGTATATAGCCTCTGCCAGGGAAGTCCTACTCATTACCCCATGGTGGGGGTGTTGTTTACGAAATTGAGAGGACGAAAAGCGAATGTCTGGCGCTTTAACCGGGTTGGTGGACACAGAGTCCACCTAGGGGAGTTGGAAAACCCTGATTCCAAACCAATGGTACACATGGGTTCCAGGATCGTGAGTGATCAAATGGCGTATAAACCGATCGTTGGAGACCGGCTACCAAGGAACTGCATCTCCTTACGCTGCTCGATTGCCTTGTGGATTAAACCTATTGGTTAAAGGCTCCAGGTGTGGCTTCCTAAGAAAACCACCTGCTCCAGTCTGGGCACCTGGGCAGTATCACAGCCCACACACAAATCAAACGATTTGTGTGGCACATATGTATTCGGTGCCCCTTTTTTACCTATATATATATATATATATATAGTCGTATTTCTTTTATCATAAGCTTCCATTTGACTTACAGGCCATTGTTATACGTTTTATCATTCCTAATTTATTCCCAATTTATTAACAACAGTATCCTAAACTCACAACCACGTTTTTGGCTTGATTTCGTATAATAATTATTTTTTGTCATTTTATGGTGTGATGCGATCTGGTGTTTTTAAATAGAATCCACGTATATCTGTAATATACGATTCATACAGTGAAGTTTAAGATTGTGTTCTGGACTCAGTAGGAAGGGCTAGTAGAGAAGAACTAATAAGTATTCAGAGCCATTTCAAGACTGCCATTTTTGGTTGATTCATAATAATTCACAGGTACAAGATCATACAATTCCATATATGGATTAGCGATTTTGTCACATGATAATTACAAAGGCAAAAACACACAGTTACTACTTAAATCGGTTTTTAATGAATTGAAACAATCCATCTTAAAATGTTACTTGAAAAAATTAAGTATAATATCATCAAAATAATTCAATTCGAATAAAAGATTATATACAGCATTTGGAAAAAAAGGAAAATCATAATGAAACAGTAAAAAGATTTGTAACTAACTTAATTGATATGATTAAGAAAAATAAATCTTTGTCGGGTAGAAACAAGTGTCTACCTCAGTACAATGTTAGATGGTCGCGCAACTTCGTGGATTGGTTGAGGCTAGACATTAACACCATTGGATGCCGGTTCAGTGATCCGGTAGGTTAAGCCCTCGCGCTCGAGACTGAATGCCCTGGGTTCAAATCCTGCGAGCGGTATCGTGGATGCGCACTGCTGATGTGTCCCACAATAGGACGAAACGGCCGTCCAGTGCTTCCAGGTTTTCAATGGTGGTCTAACATCAATCGGTTCATGATCTCAATCAAAAACTGAACAATCTCCACACCCCCTAAACTGAAAATTGATTATTTATTGAATAGAATATATTTTCAATAAAGTTGTTGTTAAATGTACTTCTTTAATATAAATTTCAATGATCCTCATACAATATAATATGATATTGATTATTTATTTTACATTTGATTATATTGAGATTGGAACTAAATGATATAAAATATTTTCTAAGAGAATGCAAATATAGTTTAAAAAAACGGATCGTAAATTCAATCTTTAATCATGGAACTTCCTACTTAAAATGTTAACAAATATACAATTAGTATCCAATGTGGTTTAGATTGTCAGACAAAAGTTAATCGAAGATGTATAAGATGTACAAGATAAACATGATTGCTAGTTCACAAGTACTTCATTATATTTAATATCTATTACAATGTATTCATTATGTGATGGTCTTAAATAAGTAACTGTAAAACAGTTTGTATACACATTAGAAGAAACAAAATTTAAGCTAGAGCTATAGTGAAATGATATCAAACAAGTTTACCAAATAAAAGTCCCTATTTGTCACTGAGTTAATTTAACTGTCCAACTGTGTCAAAACATGTTGAACGGTGTTAAATGTAAATAAATTGAAGAGAAAAAAATCACGCGCGAGTCCGAACGTCCTGGGTTCGAATCTCGCGAGGAAGGATCGTGGATGCGCACTGGTACGGAGTCCCATACTAAAACCAAATATCCGTCCAGTGCTTCCAGGTTTTCAATGGTGGTCTAGCTTACATCGACACATGAATTCAACTATTACAATCATTACAATCTCCACAAACCTCCATTATAAAAAATCACTATTTCAACTGTTCCCATCAGTAAGCTATACTTACAAAACCATATTGATATGGTAATGTAGTATCATCATCAGCGTTAACATGATCAATTATATCTTTTACCATCTTTTATTTTTCTTTTGACAAAATAAAAAAATTGTTTTCCGGTTTTTACCTTAAATCATTTACAAACAAAACAATCTAGCCACATGTACGAATTTGGAGTTCAGTCGATTTGAAAACACTGAAAATTATTGGTTTAGGCGAATTTGAACGTTCAGTTTGTTGTTTGTCTTTTTCAAAAACGGTTAGTTTGTTTATTACTTTCTTTTGTGTTTTTTTCTCTTTTGTTATTCCTATTGTTATTATGACTCTACAAATGATCTATCGTTGTTATTCTAATTTCAATGATTGAGATGATGGGTCATTTGAAGGTAGACCACCATGGAAAACGTGGAAGTGGTGAACAGCCGTTTCGTCCTGTTTTGGGACCCCTCAGCAGTGCGCATCCACGATTCCGCCCCACGCAAGATTCGAACCCAGAATCTGTCAGTCAGAAGAGAGTTGTTTTGGTCTAGTCTACATCTTCGATGTGATATATGACTTAGTATGATCTTGAGACTTGCAACATGTGAGTTCGATTCGTGACTGTAGGGCCTTGAGGACAGAAAGAAAAGAACCATCCTACCACTGACCTATGATTTGATAGGTTGACAAACAGAGGGAGAGTGAGAGAGCGGGAAGTGTTAGAATATCTATTCCTGGTTCAAACTAACTCAAAAGGTGCATGAATGAGTGGTTGACTAACAAAACCAAAACACGCAAAAATGAGAAAAATACAATCATATGCAAACTAAGATATAGGAGAATCAAGTGAAATAGCCCACTAAAAATAGCTCCAATTATTTGTCATTGCCTCCTTATTTCTCTCTTCACACTTCGGCATCGTCAAAGTTGAGTATATTTGCCTAGTCAGTTTGGTTGTAGGTTTAGTTGAATCATAATCATCATGAATAAAATTATTGACCATTATTTCTTCGTGTTTTTCAAGTATTAGCAATTGGCCAACATAGAATGGGATAATAGATTAAGAATTCAGACATTCGCTTCTGAGCAGTTCACCATATGTTCGAACACCTCTGTATTTAAACTGTTTTAGGCTGACCTATAATATCACTAGATGACCTTAGACATGGGATGTGTATCAATGTCGAGTTTGATTGATTAGTTGTATTATTTGGTAGAGAGAGGCTGTCACTTAATCTTAAGTTTAAGACTCTACTACTTTGATTTATCTAACCCGACGGTGTTAAATGAAGTTTATATTAGTCTGGATTACATGAACATATACTTAGTTACTAAGTTTCAATCTCAGGTTAATAAATTACCAAATTGAAGAGTTTTAGTGACCCCATATCTGACTCCAGTTAAATCGTGTGCTTATTGTTATCGAAATATACATACCGCCGATCCTCGTATTTTTTTGTCGACTTAATTCGCATTGGAGAATAACGGAATAAAATAAGCCAAATACGAGAATGGATTTTGAATACGTATACTACGCACACATTGATCCGGACATACAATTAGGGAAGCGAAGCGAAACGAAACGAAGTGACGTGCAGAGGAAAAGGCTAGTGAGCCAACTTGATTTAATCAAGCGTGATTCAATATTTATATTCAGACAAAAATAAATTACATACACACTGACTAGGGTAAGCAATTAACACACAAATGATCATTTAAAAAAACAGTCAGGGTTAGTAAGTAAATGATTAACAAAGTCAAAAGTGGCTTGAGAAGAATGAATATATTGGCCTGTCTATAAGCTAGAATAATAGCCTATGTTGGCATGACATAGTACCAGCCACTACAGTTTTGATCGACTTATTCAAGTAGAATTTTCATAATTCATGTGGTAAATATAGATAGTGATATGCTTTGTCATGATCAATCAATTTCATTTTTGTTCGGTTTATAATTAATACGATTGGATTCTTTTTAAAGTTTTACCATCTCATAGAAAAATACTAAATAATTCTTAAGCAAAGATGGATGGTGGCTAGCAGTGTAATCCAGAACGCGTGTTTCTTCCTATCGGGTTCGAGTCCCGGATTGAATATCAGCTCTGAAATGCAGGTACATCTAGATGACGAGTCCCAAACGGGACTAATCGCTCGTCCTGGATTACTCTGCTAGCCATCATCAATCTTTGTTTATAATGTTTGCGACTTAAGGCAATATCGAGGCAATCCGTAAAGGATGCACATATGTTTATAAGATACTGATCAATTACAATCCTAAATATCAATGGGAAGATTCAAATAAACAATGCAAAATGCATTCAAATAATTCTTGTTTATCCTTGATGCTACATCATTGTTTTAATTAAATGTTGTTGAATATGCTGCATCCTCTATTACCTTGGTGGTGCAACTTTTCTTGGATACTTATTATAATGGTAATCTGTGTTTCATCTTTACGTTTAATTAAAATGTATGTATATGTGAATATGACAACTTTGACTTGAGACCAGTGATTCCATCGCTTCTTGGTTTTTGATGATTTTCCAGCTGATTTCAAGTCGGTGATAAAAAGTCTACTCAAATTTGACGAAATTTCGATGGTTATCTATCTACGAGAGAATATATATATATATATATATTCTACATTTGTTCTGTTCGAACTATTAATACTATCATTATCTGTCTGTTGAAACTTCTGTTGCTCTATGGATGGATGGAAGGATTTGAATGTTTAACTTATGCACTGAATTCTATAAAATACAATCTTGAACATTCGAACAAGAAAATAACCTCGCTCGACTAATGATCATTTATTACTTTTCATAACTTGGAACAACACTTGACTGAACAAATTGCTCTTGTTGGAAATCTAATTATAAATCATTTTGTTACTGTATGGAACAGATATGATCTGAGCTTATTCTCATTGTTTTCAATGTTCATTAGATAATGTTATATGTAGCAATTCCTAGCTTTTTTTTCGACCATTCATTTAATAGATGAATACTGCTTATGAGAGAGGTAATTTTCACCAGATTTCATTTTGAACTGTTGTGAACAGTTCAGTGTAACAAAGTTTCAATACACCTGTATGAAAAATGTTAATACAGTCAAATATGAAATCTTTAATGAAAATAACATTCATATGGATAGATTGGGACAATCATAAATCGGCTAAAAGATAAGTAAAGGAAATACTTTTCATTTTCAACGAATGAGACATACATCATTATTGGCTGAATTTTCTTAGAGATAGACATATGTTTATATAAATGACTACACATATAAATGAATTGATTTAGTTAATAAACTTCCTTTCTCTATCTTAGTCTTTTCATTCGAATAGCTGGTTAGTCTCATATATAGACAAATTACGTATCAATATCAACGTTCGAACACCACATTTCACATTACTTATAAACTAAAGAATAGCCAGAAGTGCTAGAAATCACATTCCTTGAGTTTGTTGCAAATAACTTCCGTCATGGATACAGTCCATTACTTTGTTTTCCAATAGTAACATGTTGAGTGAATAAAAATTGATGTATTAATTCAGTTTCATTCTGTGTATTATCGTTGTTGGCTTGTATTTATTTATCTTTTTGTTAATCAAACTATTTACTTTTATAGGATAGCGGAGTTAAATTATGTGCAGTTGACGAAGCTACAGATCATGTAATTTCAATATGGGATTGGCAGAAAAGTCGCAAAATAACGGAGACTAAAGTAAGATACTAATTAATTACATATTTTCAAAGCTATATATGTGTATAAATATACTTCAGATACTCCTCATTACTTGTGTCGACGTAGGTTATCTGGAACATTTTCAGTGTTCAATGTGTATGTCGTATCCTCCAGTACTAGCCATTCATCTGTCCACTTAGTGTATGGGTTTCACATATTAAAGTATATTTTGCACTAGATATTTCATTTCAAGAAACTAAGGCTATTCACAACTTTTTCTAATGAATGCATCAGTGTAGCGCTGCTCCATATGAAGAATAAAAGTCATCGGTGTAATGAAAATTACGGTTTGAAATGAAACCTCTAACGAAAATTACATTCTGATGTCTAGCATTCGCTCACTGAATGAACGGAAAAAAGTGAAAAACTTCAGTATACAGTACACTTAGTAAACAATGAACATATCGTGGTTATCCTGATCCCTTATGTTATATCCCGATGAGAATAATGATTGGTAACTGTTGGAATCTATTTCTGGACTAATACAATACATATATTTTTATCGCATAATTATTAGGTAACTAAACTATTCATATTCGTGTTTTTCTTATTCTGAGCTTTATTTTGACCTATGAACTATTATTATACGACTTACCATTCTTGAATTATGCCCAGTCTATCAATTACTATCTCCCACATTCGTAGCCACTCTTGGCTAGGTCTTGTACAAATGTTATTTCCTATTTTATGGTGGGATATGATCTGTTTGGTTTGTATATAAACCCAGTATGTTTGAAATATATGATTCACATCGCAGAGGCTGAAATTAGTGTTCTTGACTTAAGAGGCAGGGCTAGGCAGGATGTAGGACTGATAAAGACTCTTGACTGCTCGTACGGTTTTATGCGTCATTTGTGCGGTCGATAAATCACTGTTCTCTAATTGGCAGTATGAATACGTTATATATTAACACGGCACAAAACCACAAGTTATAACACCTTATCCCTACTAAATGTCTGAGTGTTAAATTTCTCGCTTTTTGAGGGAAATCAAGAATGTGTTTGACTCATATAGATAAAGACCTGCTACTTACTCCACACTTCCATTCTGATGAGCAGTTAAATCTCGTTTAAGAAAATAAAGTTAATTTATTTTGTATTTGTGAATAAGATTCATCACCCACCAGTCTACTTGAGGTCTTAAAACTTAGAAGATTATTTGGAAATCTTACTTTTAAACTTAGTATATTGACACAACATTTCTTACTCACTAAAACTAAGTTTTTAGTTATACTTACTAACAGTATGCAGTATGTATGATTTCTTGTTGCAAGTTATTACAAATCTTTAAATTACATATATATACGTACTTGATTTTTAACTGTATATCATGAATTTGGGTTTATTTTGCTTTTTTATGACCTCCCAAATTCTAATCTCCTGAATCCTCCTCTCCTTTTTGTGTTTTTCTAAATTTATTTCACTGGATTATAATCCTTGAATAACATCTTCAAACCCTAATCTTTTCGATTACTGTTTATACTTTTACTACCTCTACCACTACAGGATTTGAATGGACAACTGCATCTCTGTGCTAATGTCGTGTGGCAACTCGAACTGATGTACGTGCGTACGAAGTTTTACGTTGTAATTGACTGACCTACAAGTGTACACAATTGCATGTTTACAATCATCGTCGTTTACATATGTTCATAGGAATTTGGTTATTTATGTATATAACTATCAGTGCAGTCCTACTCACTGCCTTTTCACGGTGAGGGTGTTGTTTAACGAAATTGAGAAGACGTAAAGGTAATGTCCGGCGCCTTAATGGTGTTGGTTGGTACGGAGGATCCACCTAGTGAAATAGGAAAACCCTAATTTCAAACCAATGGTACACATGAGTTTCAGAATTATGAGGGAACAAATGACGTATGAACTTATTGTTGGCCTCCGGATGCGATAGGACTGAATCTCCTAATGTTGCTCCATTGCCTTATGTATCAGACCTCTAGATGAAAGGTCTGGAGAGTGGTCACTTAAGGAAACCACCTGCTTCGGTCTGGGTACCCAAGCAGTACTCCAACCCTCACACACAAACTGAGTGGTGAGGTGTGGTGCATGTATATTTGGTGCCTCGTGTACCAATGTTTACGTGTTTAAATAGTAACAAATATAACTGTTTTATTATAATAATAATATGAATATGGATGTGAATATGAATACAATGTAGTTAAAATCCAATTCGATAAACAGCAATTAATGTCATAATTAAACTTTAAGACTCGCCTAGTGCAAAATTTACTTTGAACTTATAATCTAAATTAATATTTTACATGAAGGGTTGTTTATTTATTTAAAAGATATTGATAGTTATAACAAACATTGGGCGTGAATCACATATCCGCCAGTTATAAGATAAGACAATGTTGTACTCTTCTATGAATTGATTATAAATATATATGCCAGTGCAATCCTCTAACTCAATAATTTCAAGGTAATATGTTTGCTGGGTAACTTGATTGTTCTCCTGTCGATCTTTTAGGGTGTCATAGGCATGCATTGTTAAGTCCTTTGTTAAGATTAAAACAACTATCTAGTGTTTTACCTGTTTTATAGATACTTCCTTCAGTCAATATCAATTTGTAACTCATCTAGTACATATTCGTGTGCTCGGCTTTGAGCTCGACTTTATATCTGTGTGTTAATGATACTACCCGGTTAATCAGATCGAAGTAAGTTAACTGGTACTCGGGACCTATTGGTTATGAGTTGAATCCTCGTACTATTAAGTCATTGCTCCATATCGATCCCTCCATCTGTCTGTTTCTCTCTCTCTCTCTCTCTCTCTCTCTATATATATATATATATATATATATATATATATGCAATGAATATAGTATCTCACTTTTTCTCACAACCCCCTCTCTTCATCACTTCATCTTACTGGCTACACGTTTAGCAACATCTAATCATTTTACAATACCATTAGAAATTATTTTTGTTTTTACTATCCATTGAGATTAGTATTGATTAGTTTTTATTTTCTAAAATACCAGTACCTGTTATATTTATACAACAGTAGGCAAAATATAATACCTTTCAATTCCTTGCTTTTTCATTGTGAAATAAACATTTTTGTATGAACAATTTCTGTATGAAATGTTGTTAGTTCGTAAGATTCTGTTGGGAATTATTACCAAGTAATTTTATGTATTGAAGTGATGAATGATTAAAACTGCTGTTAAATTTCATGGTAGTCTCTGTTGGGGACGTTAGATCCCCAGAACTCACTTGAGAAAGGACCTAATTTTGTAATTTTATTTAGAAAATTTGAACTTCTTTGTTGGCTCAGCAGAGGCGCTCTTATCACCTTCATGTCGTATTTCCCACTGGGAAATATCTTAAATGCTATTGGTCCGTTGCATCTTTTAGTATGCTATTTGGTAACTCTCTCGAAGGACGGTTTTGCACTGTATATATACGTTTTGAATTGGGTTTGTTGTTATCGCTCGTTTCTGGCAGTTTGCAGAATATACATCCCCATTCTAAGCTTGGACTTCTCCCTCTAGTTAGCCGGACTGGGACGCATCAAACAGCTAGCTTACTGATCTTTGGTCACCGAGTCTTGTTCTCGTTTGCCGTTTAAGTGAACTCTTGATAGCTTCAACCCTATCAGTCTCCAAGATAACTGACTCTAGTGTAGATCGATAACCAGTAAAAAAATACTGATTGTATTGAAAAGCAGTTCATTCTAGTTATGATTTATGAATTATCCACCCCAAAATAAAGTAATACTCGGGGTGAGTATAACACGTAGTCTGTATTGTTTTCGTTTTTAATTCCAATTTATCAGCACAAAATCTCGTAAATTATAAAACAGTTTCCTTTTGTTCTCATTCATTTATGATTTGTGATGCTGCGACGTTTCACATGTCATCGAAGATTTTCATTTCAGTAACAAGATGAATAACGTACATATAGAAATATCAGTAGTAGTATTTGTGATTATCAGAAATACGAACTATTGTAACTGAATCAAAATATGTATAGAAGAATACTAGAACGTATTATCAAATCAGATTTAAGCTTTTTCGTATCGGTTTTCGATTTTATTAAAGATTGTAGCTGAATAGCGTATGTGTATCCTAATCTTCTCGAATTCATGATTATTTTGTTTATTACTTGTTTTGAATTAGAAATTCTTATAACTTTAATCGTTTAGTAATAATAATAGTGTACCCCACTTATATTTTTCTCTTGTATTGATATATCACACATTGTAGTGTTTATTCATTACCTTAATCTCAAATAACATAGAGGTGATCATATCTGAAGTGCAACAGTGAACCTTTATGGTTGGTTAAAGAAAAACGTCATAATTCGTAGTAACTTATATCTTCCTCATTACCGTTTGTTTGTGACTAGCAGCAATCAGTTTCTATATAAATGATATATATGTATATATAACTATCATAGTAGTGTTAGTGTAATATCTGTAATATCATTGAAGTCGTGAATTTGCCTAAGATAGACCACCTTTGAAAACCTGGAAAAATTGGACTGCCGTTTCGTCCTAACATGAAGCTCCTCAGTAATGGGCATTCGCAACCCCTCACACAGAAATCGGATCTAGGACCTCTGGTCTCGGGCGTCAACGCTTAATATCTAGACCACTGAAGCGGCATCCGATGTTATTAATTCCTAACTTAAATCAGTGACCAGTGGAGCCAAATCTTGTTGAGTGCGAGGCAGTTACTCACTGAAAACAGTGGAAAATAGTTACGAAATTTCGTAGATTGGTTGAAGTTAGAAATTAATACCATTGGGTCCCGGCTCAGTGGTTTAAAGTTCAAGCGTTCGTGTGCGTGATACCGAAATTCCTGGGTTCGAGTCTTGTTTGCAGGATAATGGATGTGCGGTGCTGAGGAGTCCCATACTTGAACAAAACAGCCTTCCAGTACTTCCAGGTTTTCGATCTTGATCTAACATTAACCGGTTGATGATTTCATTTAAACATCATTTCGATTGTCTGTTTCAATATATTTATTAATTATCCTAAACAAAAAAGTTGATTTAAATTAATTTTATCACTTAGTTCCATACAACATGAACACATGACAATTAAATTCGTCATAGATTGGTCTCAGTTGGACTACTAATAAAAATCAAGAAGTTTCAGACAGTCGTTTCACTTTTGTACAAAACTCCTCAGCGGTGCGCACCAACGACCTAAACCATAGTCGAACATTAAATATTTTAGTCCTATGGCGAATAATTAAATGATAGAACTACTGTATTAGAGTTGAGCAATGCACATATTGAATAACAAAAGTAGGCTTCATCTTATCTTTCAAGTACATCATATTGTACTTCGTCACTGATCTCCATGATATTAAAACTAAAAGTAACTTTGCATTGACCGTTCACACACGATATCGATGGCCATATGTTCGAATCCCGCTAGCGGGATCGTAGATACACACTGCTGAAGAATCTCACAACAGGATAAAACGGCCGTTCAATACTTCCAGGTTTTCAATGGTGGTCTAACATTAATCAGTTCATGATCCCAGTCAAAAACTTAATAATCTCTACAACCCTATACTGTGATAATTACATTGAACAATCTAAACGATATTCCATACTTACTTTGATTCTTTCTAAATATTCATCATAAAAAGAATGTTAGACTCCATCTACATGTATCATCTCATTAATATGCATAAGTAGTGACCTACATATATCATAATAATGATTGAAAATATCATTATAATTCAAACTTATTATTTATCAAAGTGTATTTCTTCTTCAATGTCACAAGATTTAGCTTTGTTTACTTACAAAGGCCAAGTGTATGATAAAGTAATACTAACTTAGTTAAAAATCAACCACATTTTTCATCTGAATTCTTCTAGGTTATTCTTGTGCTCTTCTTTTCTAACTAATGTAAATTTTAATGAATGGGTATTAAATATTCTAGTAATGAATAAAAGTTTAAAGTAACCGAGACAAATTTTCATTTCTTCTTTTTAGCCAATTAAAAAGTAACTTTTAGTAAATGAAAAGTGAAACTATTGACATTACAAAGTGTAAATAGATCTAATGTAATGAATGGATGTATTTTATTTATTTAAACACACAAACATTGGTACAAGGAGGCACCAAATAGATATGCGTCACATAAATCATTCGAATTGTGTGAGGGCTGTGATACTGCCCAGGTGCCCAAACTGAAGCAGGTGGTTTTCTTAGGGGGCCACTCCCCGAGTCTTCGACCTGAAGGTCTGATCCACAAGGCAGTGGAGCATCGTAAGGAGATGCAGTCCCAACAATTGGTTCATACGCCATTTGTTCTCGCAGGATACTGGAGCCCATGTGTACCATTAGTTTGGAATCCGGTTAAAGCGCCGGACATTCGCTTTTCGTCCTCTCATTTTCGTAAACAATACCGGTGCCACGAGAAGGCAGTGAGTAGGACTTCCGTGGCAGAGGCTGTATACGCGTGACCGTGTGAGAGCGTTTTAAAAGGAAGCGCGGACCTGCCCCACTCTCGGCCATACCAGGGCATTTGGGGGCCTGATTTATCTACCTATGAATTGACTAATCTACGACTTATGAATTGGCCTATAAAAGTATAGGTTATCCGTTTCTTTAAGTCTTTATGATGAAGCGATTCAGCACATATTGGTCTTGGTTAAAGTTAAGTATTTAGGGGGTGGTTGTTAGGATTAAGATTTTCTTCACAAACTGACATCAACTTTAGTGAGAAAAATGCTTTTTAGCAAATAGATGAATGACTTTTCCTCGAAAATGTTAGAGATAGAATCTAACTAGTTTTTCTTTAAAATAAATGCCAATGGATTGAGGTTCATTTCAGGAATTGAGGATGTTTAGGGTTAAGTATTTAGGATTCGCTTGTTATATACAATTTACAGTGAATGAATGGAACAATTGATACGTGTGATAGTAATATTTTTACTGTATGGTGGCAAAAAATAATTTATTCTTCTCATTTTAAACGTCTTAAGCAGTGCATCCAGTAACTATGGTTATGCTTTCGTTTATTTAGTTACTCAATTTTAGATAATTCGGAATAATTTCTCTTGAAAGTATGACTTTTGTTACGTTGTAATTTTTCGTCCATCAAGAGAGCTACACTTGACACGTCCGTAGCATAATGGATTAGTATTTTCGTCATAGAAAACTTTGTATTTTTCATGTAAGCCACCAAAATAATAGCGAATTAAATACACTCTCCATCATGAATGACCTTAGTATAAATAATAATTCCCGTCTCATTTTGGTTGATTGCTCAGTACATGGTTAAAGTTTCGAACGAGAGTGGAGTTTATTTTCATCCTTTTAGTTCCTCTCTTAAATTTAAATGTTGCACTTTTGATTGTTAATGGCCTGTCCCCATGTGGTGTGTGCTACTTATATTGACATAAGTAGTATATGATATTAGTCGTGAACAGAAGGTCTGGCAGAAGAGAGACAAGAGGATCGAACAGTAAGAATGGCAACAAAATAAAATTAGTATGAAAATGCGAGAACGATGAAGTCTGAGTCATTTTGAGGCAATTGGTGGACATTTTGCAAATTAAGCATTTACTTTATGATTGTAAGATTTATTTAACAAGTCCTGTAATTTTGTGTTAAATACATTCGATTATCCCCACCCGTGTTCTGTTCACTACACCTATACTATACTTTTACTATTATTCTTGTTGTTGTTTATGATCATTTCTGACTCTTTTTCGGTTTTTCATAGTTAGATATTAAATATCATTAGTAAAGACTGCGAAAATAATTTTTTCTTTCCGAAATCAATTATGTAAATCTAATGTCTTTTTTTTACAAGTGAACTCTTGACATTGACTTTTAACCACTTTCTAGTAGACGACTGACTGACTTTTTAGTTTCCTAGAAATCTCCTACAATTGGATCATAAGTAACAGAAAAAAATTCAAAAAGAAGTTTTACATCTGAAATTAGTCTATATGTAAAGGGCACAATATAATACAGTGTACTAGGGTTGAAGATACCACGTGTTCACTTAATCTGCGAATGAGAAACAAGACTCGGTGACCAAAGACCAGTAAGCTAGCTATTGATGCGTCACAGCCCCTGCAAACTGCCAGAAACGAGCGATAACAACAAACACAATTCAAAACGTATATATACAGTACAAAACCGTCCTTGGAGAGAGTTGCCAAATAGCATACTAAAAGATGCAACGGATCAATAGCATTTAAGATATTTCCCAGTGGGAAATACGACATGAAGGTGACAAGAGCGCCTTTGACGCGGAAACAAAGAAGTTCAAATTTTCTAAATAAAATTACAAAATTAGGTCCTTTCTCAAGTGAGTTCTGTGGATTTAACGTCCTCAACACAGTGGCAGGTCATAAGAATTCACCTTAACCAAGAATAATTTGATATTGACATATTTAAACGTATTATGATTTTGATTGTACTAAAAATATTCTGCATTGTTTTCTTTTTTGTATTATTTAAATTTTTGTTGATTTTATTCCGGTTATTTATTAACTCTGAAGAAGTGGCTTACATTAAATCACGAAACATCGTCAGAAATACAATTTTTCTACTTGATGAGATATTACTTACGCTTGTTACTCTTAATGAAGCATAGGCCGCCGATCAGCATTCTCCAACCCACTCTGTCCTGTGCCTTCTTTTCTAGTTCCATCCAATTCTTGTTCATTTTACTCATGTCTATCTCCATTTGTCGGCGTAATGTGTTCTTTGGTCTTCCTCTCTTGTTTTGGCCTTGAGGATTCCACGTGAGGGCTTGTTTTGTGACACAGTTGGATGCTTTCCTCAATGTGTGTCCTATCCACTTCCAGCGCTTATTGAGATATAACAAAACGTATTTATTATCAAGTATGTATTACTTTTAATTGAAATAAAATGCATCAATTTGAATTTTTAATAAAATTTATTGTTTAAACGAAATTTTGTTTTCTCTTTTCTTTTTTTTTCTTCTCAGTGTTCCACAGAACCAATAACAGCTGTTGAATTTCATCCATTAGATGATGCAACCCTTGTAACTGGTGGTAAAGGTCATTTAGCATTTTGGACATTTGATGGATGTACACTAAGTAAAAAGATGGGAATATTTGAAGTAAGTTAAAAGGCAACAATAAGAAAATGATGCTTGTTTATTTTAATCAATAGTTATTTCAATAAAGTTCTTTTTTGATTCTCTTAAAAAGAGCAAAGTTAAAGGATTATTATTATTATTGATGATGGCTTTATTCAATATCATATTTTTGGTACAATATGGAATTCTTAGCATGAAGTGTTTCAGCAATTTTCCTCTTCTTATTTTTTGATCGATCTTGACGATATATATTGAGTGATTGCCAGTTAGATGTTAGGCAGTTCCACGAATTAACATCTGAATAATGTTCATTCTATTCAATGCATATTTTGCCAGCCACCATGATGTCTCTGATTGTACTTCTTTTGTAACTTGTACGGCGAAAGATCGTAAACATTTCATAGATGCTCCTGAATAAGTTCTGTGATTAATAGACATAATGATGATTTGTTGAAAGAAACAAAAAGACAAATAACTTGTTGAAATATTTAGACGGTAAGAACAAGTCGCTCAGATATCCAAACAGGCTACCTTAAAGATATAATTGAGGTAGTATGATATGATTCCACTTTATTGGGTTAGATTCGCTTCAACTGATACTTATCAACTTATAATATATATTTTGAAAGTTAAACTTCACATTACTTAAAACTGTGTAATTAGTTGGATGTGGATTTATATCGCAGTATGATAAAATGTTCAGTTCGAATTGATTCAAAGAAGTAATATAAACAATGTAGTCAATTAATATAATATGTAATACAAGATTCTAGATCATCAGAAACAGAACATGAGATCATACAGCCAATTTAATGTAGTAAGCGAACATAAATTAATAGTTATTAAGAATAATATGAGTTCAGATCAGTCGGTTGAAAATAAATTGTTGAATTTTTTCAGGAAGAGATGATGTAATTAAAAGATGAGAAAGTGTTGCAAGAATATTGTGTGATCAACTGATGATGACGTCAAAATATTAAGGAAAGCTTCCCACTATTTCCTTTTCGGATATATAAATCTAGCTTTAGATATTTGACGGCTGTGACTTAAGCGAATTTGTAGTGACTAGACTTTTATTATCAATTGACGATCTTGAAAGATTTCAGTATAATGTCAACTTGCTGTTGAGATGTTGGAGAAAACTTGTAGGTCAGGTGGATAATTATGGTGGAGTTTTGTTCTCTGAACTAGATGGTTTGGTCACTGAGTTCTCATTGTTCTTGGGAATAATTATGGATCAATATGGGACCAATAATCAAATCAATCGGACATTCAATCAAAATAAAGAAGTAAACTATAATAAGTTAAAGGTCAACACTAACCGATCAAGATCGAGATCGACAGGACAAGCTGTGCGTCGTATGTGGAGAACACTTCACTTGAAGTTTGTGCTGATGGTGTCGTTCAGAAGAACAATGAAACCTTCACGACAAAACCAACCAGTTCAGAGAAAAAAACTTCATCCAAACCAACTTGTCCTTGATCCTGTTCTCATAAAATATTCAGAGCACAAAAATATGTGAAAGAACAATTGTTTTAAGTAAATTCAATCATCAGGCTTTACAGCTTTAAGTCCATAATTGTTGTGTTATTTTACAATGGTCAAAATAAACCACGTTAGTGAAGAGAATAATGTTGTTGTGTGTGTAAGAAAAAGTGAACTGTTGCATTTACCACTGTGTATAAAGACTTCAAACTGTACCGTTTTTAAATTAGAAAGGTCAGTTACAAATAGTGTAATGGATTCGTTGTAAGTTATCACGCAATCAATGTAATAATAATAATAATAATAATAATAATAATAATAATAATAATAACTGGTATGGATATGGAAATTTGGGTGAAGTGATAATTTAAATAGTCTGTTCAATAAATACACGGTCTGAGATCTATATTTTACTGAATTCAAAGTACATTAAAGCACCCCCTCAAGAATACAATAGATTTATTGCATCAAAACTTCCATTTATATTTTCATTGTCTAAAAATCATCCATGAAAGTCTTCTAATGTCAAGATTTTCAGTCGCCTCTCCATATCACATTTTGTGTTGTCACACATCATCTCATTTTTGTTTCTCTATGACAAGTGCATATTTGGATAACAAAAAATATCACTCATAGAGCTGCATTTAGTGATTAGAAATTGCGACTTAGTCTAGTGATCAAACTAGCATCAAGAAATTCAATGGTTATCATTGATTAATATGTAGGCCAACTGCCATTGTACAACAGCCATAACCAAATAATTCTAGTTGCTAATTTAGCGGTTGACTTTAAAATATTGAGTTCCGTTTCTCCGAATTCAATCAAGATCACTAGACAATATATAGTTCGAAATTAAATATACAAACCACTACTATACTTTCGAATCTTTTGAATAACAAGATAATCATCACCTCTAATTGATACATTAAATTTAGGATTAACAATCAAAAGTATTATTCGGTAGTTGGAGGTATTCGACAGGATTACCAATAAAAAATAAGGAGTTTAAGACAGTCGTTTCTTTTTTGTACGAAACTACTCAGCGGTGCAAAACTAGGCTTCATCTTATCTTCCAAGTACATCAAATTGTACTTCATCACTGATCTCCATGATAACAAAACTAAAAAGGCTTTACATTGAACAGTCTAAACGATATTCGATTTTTAATGTTAATATATTTACTGTGATTCTTTCTAAATATTCATCATTAAAATAATGTTAGACCTCATCTACATGTATGCATAATAATTTACAAATTCATCAATCTTAACTCATCAACAAAGCGTACCTATAATTTGTATGGAACTGGAGTTCGAACACACATCATGCACCATCTTAGTACTACAAACTACCACTAATTTATTCCCACCTCAACTGGCTTTCTATAGTGGAAGACTATGGTATTCACTATTGCATTCCCTTCCAGACTCAGTACCTTAAATTTCATTCAACCTTAATCATCGTTTTCTTATTCTACCCATTCAACTTCCCATCTGTTATACATTAACTTCCAGTACATATTATATCCCAATATTTTCTGCCCCATTGATTAACTTTGAAGATCTTAGAATGAGTATGTGTTTTTACTAGTCTATATATATACATATACGTATGTATAAATTATTTATATGATTATAGATTATTCAATGTTAAGGGTTTCTGATTGTTGGTGTTCACCTTACTTATAGTATTTTTTTTCATGGGTACGTATATTTGTTGAATATTTATATATATATACAAGTTATTTGTTTACATCTTGTGTCCAGAAGTCAATCTTTTTTGTTTGTTTATTTACTTCCGTGTTGTGTAATATTTAAAAACCTAGACGGTAGCAGTTTAAATCGACATGAATGAATTTCGTCTATGCTATTTTATGTGTATATGTGTTTATGTAGGTAAACAATGTGTCGCAAATTTAGTAAACTAATAAAAGAAAAGTAGTTTTTCTCAGTGATTGTCTAATTGATCTTGAAATATAATCAATCTTGTTTTTTTCAATTCGCTTGGCTGTTTTCACCATTATTTTTCTCCTAATGTTGTTTCTTTATGTATATTGCACTATACTACTTACTAATATTCAGTAATCAAAACAGTCGTCAATTATTTTTGTATGTATGGCTTCATTGTTGTATCGTAGTTTTAAACATGAACGTGGATCTATGATATTTAGTGTATTTATCCCTGTTACTGTATTTCTTGACACTAATAATAATAATTATTTTCACTTCCGTATTTAATATAAACATTTTTGTTTGTAGTAGTTTACATATTTTGTGTTCATAGTTCTCATTTTTCACTTGTCGACACAGATATTGGTTATTATTTATTGTACTGAAGCACTCCCTCCGTTATACCAATACACTTAAGATAATTCATGAATTAAAGTTTGTAAAACTCACTATTTGTGTTGTTATCTACAACATTATTGTTTTGTTGACATACCTTTTGTTTTTAGATTAAGATCATGAAGTGATTTAGATTAGACATCCATCGCTCGTCGAAAAGTACTGAACAACCATTCTTTCTTAGTATGATACTTCTCAACAGTGTACATCTACGCCCCTACCATATGAATAAATGAATCTTATACGAAAACTCAAGTGTCACTTTGTTAGGTCACATAGGTCCGTCCATAGATTATAGTCTCTCCTATAGTTCTCGTCACTAATTATACATCGTAAACTCACTGTGTACAGTCGTGGCTGCACTTCTTTTTTTTAAAAAAGAATGTAGTGACAACCTTCAGTTCTCATTGTTCTTCAGTAGTTACTCAGTCAATCTCAATTTTTATGTGGAAATCAATGTTCTTACCTGTTCATATTATTTTAGAATGGTAAACAGCCAATCGATAAACCGAAATTTATACTTTGTTTAACATTTGCTGAAAATGGTGATCTACTGACTGGTGATTCTGCTGGGAATATTATTGCATGGAAACGAGGTAATTAAAATAAAGTTCGTTATTCGTTGTTAAATTCTTTGGTATGGCCGTTTAACGTTTTTTTTTGTATTTCTAAAATGTACCTAGAATGCTTCGCTTTCAAACCAGCTCTGTTAAAACGTGGTAATATTTTATGGTTTTGGACGATGTGGTACGAGTTACTATACTTTTAATTTATTTGCGTGCTGCTCTATTGCCTATCAAATGATTTTTTCCCTTTCTGTTGTTTGACCAATCAGTTGGTAAATAGAATGACATTGATCCCCATGCAAATATAAATGAGCTAATCGATTATCGAACTAGAAAGAGATATATATCAATCAACTGCCTTCCTATCATTACATTACAGCCTAGTTACACAGGACCCATTCAAAATCAAACAAGCAGTCTGTTTTTTCCCCCAACATAATAAATATTTATTTGTTAAAAACCAAATACCATTTTAATATCGATTAGTAAATGATTCTCACATGTTAACTAAACATATTAACCATTAGTCACTGACAGTAGCCTTCCCTATTATATTTACATATTTTAAACTGATCACATGAGGAATATTTTGTGAAGGTGTGGGTTTCGCAAAAATATCCTAATTTTCGTACAGATTATGGCACTTTCAGTAGGAAAAGTATAGTTGTACTAGCTTTCTTCATCAAGTCATAAATGATCTTAAGAAAATGAAGCTACATTTTAGCCAATCAGAATACAAGTGATATGTATTAATGATTAAAGTTTGTAATTTTGAGTTTGGATCAGGATCAAAAATTCAAATTGATGTTTAGTAGTAATAGAATGCAAGAATACTTCTTATTTAATATTGACATATGGATATGCTGTGTGTGTTTGCTGTCTTAATTTTAAATATCAGGCATCTCTAAATCACTTTCGAAGTCATATTAAAATGTTATATACATTTTAATTGTATTTGTTTTCGACGAAACCATAATTTATGGACGGCCTTTGAGTGACACTAAAATGATCTTGAGAATATCCACCTACTAACTAGAACTAATTGAAGGTTATAAAGCAGTGTGAAGAATTAAACTTATGACTTACAATTGATGGTTAGGCTTAGGAATTGGATTTAGGGTTTTCATCACGAACCGACTTCAGCTAAAATACCAATACGCTATTTAGACAAATGAATGAATTTCACGCCAAAATTTAAAGCGTGTTATCTTAAATCTGTAATATCTAGCTTTTTTTCCCGTTCATTTAGTGATTGGATGTGGCATATAAGAAAAAGTATAATTTTGACTGAGGATTTCATTGCAAGCTGTATCCTAGATTTTACTGGCTTTTTTCCATCTGGCAATTTGATAAACACTAAAACAATGCATTCAAAGAAGACACATGTTGATTACTGAAATGAAGTTTCGAATGAAATGATCTAAAATTTTCCGTTTCATTTAAGTGTGCGAATACTGCATGTAAGAGTAGAATGTTTACCTGGTATTTCGTCTCATTTCGTGACGTCCTCTCAATTACGTTTACCCGTCCGACAAGCTGGAATGCGGTACGGTGGAGTGTTCACAGAAATTGTATGTGAATCAGTTTGTACTATTAAAACCGAATCCCCAGTGAAAATTACGTCCTTATACGTATCAATGACCCACAAAGTGAACAGAGAAAATACTGGAAAAAGTTGGACTTCGCACTTTTATTGAATATCAAAAGAGATGGTTTCCATCACTGCTCCAATTCGTCCCTAATTGTGTAGTTTTTGTTACGTTTATGAAATTTTAAGCGACTTAGTTACTTCCGCCTTCTTAGCTGTTAATAAGTTGCAAGTTTTCCGTCATCATATATTGAATTTATTAGAAAATTTCAATAGTTGTTATCTTACATATGAGTGATTCGTCAGTAAATTATACTTTTGCCTTTCTTATCTTTGTTGAATATTTTCGAATTATCATCATTATAATCATTATTATGACTTAGGTACAAATACAGTGAATCAAATATGTCAAGGTGTACATGAAGGCGGTATATTTTCATTATGTTTAACAAATAATGGACATCTTATATCTGGTGGTGGGAAAGATCGTCGTTTAGTATTCTTTGATGCAGCTCTTAATCCAACTGGTCATACTGAAGAATTAACTGAATTATATGGTGCTGTAAGAACTATTACACAAGGTCCTGGAGAATTGTTAATTATTGGCACAACAAAGAATATGATACTACAGGTATTATATACTGTAGTATTATTGTTGCATTGAATATTGTCTGTTTTACCGTTTTTGGTACCGCATGACAAGCACTTTTCTATCATTTTTGAATGTAATCTCACTGTAACCGATCGTTGGAATAATGCTTAGGTGGATCAGAGTGTATGGACGACTTTGGAGTACATTTTAGCTGATAAGGAAACAGCGTTTTGTTGTGAAACGGTTTATGATGAGAAAAGAATTCAGTTTCCATACATTATCAAACGTTTATGTATGATTCATTAGGATCTTCATCAGGAAATGACATCAACTATAATACAGTAATGAATTTCTTCCTGAAACATTCTTAGTTCATCCATAAACTTCAATTTACTGAATTTTCTAAAAGGTAAAGGTTGATGACACGCCGCATAACAGTACCTGTCACATATTGTGAAGACTGGATAGATCATTATATCTCAAGTCCACCAGTTGGTGAGGTGTACAAACGAAGCATATCACTGGAGTAAGTAAATTGATCACTAAGCCTAGGTTGAGATATGTGCACGATTATTCGATTTTGTTAGCTCTAAAATTCCTATTCAATTCAGTCTTCTCATTAGAATAATGGAGTCTGGTCAACCGTAGTTGAATCTTTACTGGATCAGCATACAAAATTATTTAATTCAAATAGTTGTCTCTAGTGATGTAAATTTTCTATTTTCTTTTAAATAAAGGCTGGTCCTGGTATGGAAATAAGTCCTTTAATGTTTGGTCATTCTGAAGAATTTTGGAGTCTTGCTAAACATCCACAAGCTCATCAATTTTTAACTGGTGGACGTGATCATTTAGTAATTTTATGGGATTCATTATCAAAACAAGCTATTTGGTCAAAAGAATTCACTGATGCTATACATTGTGCTGCATTCTATCCACTTCAATCAGTTTCAATAACAAATGGGACTATGAGTCCAGTTAATAATAATGATAATAATAATATTAATGATAATAATATAATTGATGAAACAAATAATTTAGATTTCAATGTATCAATGATGAATTCACATGATTTATTAGTAGTATTAGGCACAAGTACAGGACGTTGGTTAGTATTTAATTGTTTAAAACAAGAAATAATTGCTGCACATTCCGATGGACTTGGTGAACAGATCGAATGTGTTGCATATTCACCTGGTACGTTGTTATTACTGTTTTCTTTCTTTTGTTCTCGTATGTATTTATCTATGCATACTTCTTTGTTAAACTTGCTATTCAATTGTTAACTCTATTTCTGTCAACATTACATAGTAGTGACAGATGTCACGTTTATCTAGTTCTTTAATCAATGGTGATCGAATTCCACCAATCAGTTTGCTGCGTGGTTGCCTGTCTCAATGACTTGACATCACATGCACTATCTACTATGTCGGCGAGAAACTTGACAGGCTGTCTTCTTCAACATCATATTTTCTTTCGTTGAGATCATGAATCGATTTAAATTAGACCACCGTTGGTAGCCTGGAAGCAAGGGAAGGCCGTTTTGTCCTAGTATGGGACTCCTCGGCAGTGCGTATCCAACAGCCTGCGTGCGGAACTCGAATCCAGGACTTTTGGTCTTGTTCGAGAACGCTTAACCTCTAGACCACTGAGCCAGCATACAAAGGTGTTAATGTCTAACGTTAATCAACCAATGATATTGCGTGACCATCTTCCATTGTCTTCTGTGGGTAACTGCTTCATCCCCGTCAATTTTCAGTCTTGCTAGATACTAAGACCTTTACCGATGTTTATAATAACTTTGATACGATGAAGTTAATCTTATAAAATAATCAGGTTGCGAGTAGTAATTCAGATGAATAATTTATTTCATCAAAATCCCTCAAAAAATATTAGGATTGGTATAAGAAGTTAGATTTAGGAAGTCAGAGATTGTTGCAATAATCATATTCATGACTAGTTATCCAGATATCTTTCAGTTCTCAGTTCTAAGAACAAACATGGAATTATCCCGAATAATTTGAAAATATTCAAATGTTGTATACATTTGAATTCGATTTATTTTCCATTAATTTTATCCGTTACATACTTGTCACTTCCCGGTCTTTATCTCTAGCATTGGTCAATTTCATTATTTTTCCTTAGTCTGGATTTTCGACGTTTTTTCCTTTTACTATATATTGATAGTTTTTACTTACCTCTTGATAAGATAGAAACTATCCATTATTGCGTGATAATACTATAAATCAGAAATAAATGATCGGCATCTATCACTGACAAACCTTGATAAGAATGAATTAATACATGTTAACTTCGATTACAGTATTCGGGAAATGAATATAGTAAGCCCTGATTATTCTCTAAATTAACTGCATACAACAATCGACAATATTAAGAGAATAAAGATGTCTCTTCTATTGATTATGATAGTATATTGTGAAATGGATTGATTTGTATAAACAAAAGTTGAGTTGTACTTGAAAAGTGGGCATCAGCGATGTGATTTGTAGAGGAGACTGGAGTATCAAGTTTGGAATGCACACTGATGTCTTTATCTGGTATACATTGCTGGAGATTATGCTTGTAGTGCCGTATTTTTATTGTCTTTCTATCGAGTCCATCACAAAACATATCTGTATTATAATAAGCTTGCGTCATTTTTAACAGAAATTACTGTAGCTCAAACCGAATCAAATCACAGAATAGCACCTACTAGTTCATAAACTCATTGACTATTGAATTGAGCCTTTGTGAGGTGAGTTCAAACTAGATGATTAGAGCCCGCGCATGACATATCTTGACCGATAAACGAGTGCACAGTCGTTTGTGTTCTTTCTGTCTAAAGTGTACATTCTAGCAAAATTTGATTAAAATATACTATGAGTGGTGTCATTAGATTTAGTTATGCATACATCTCTACGTTTACGGTTGATATCTTATATATAATTGATATTTACTCGATCTGATGTTTTAGATCATTGTTTTGAATACATAAGATATTGCGTTCTAACTAAATAGATTCTAGGTATGCTCACTCATGAACAAGTTAATTTTGTATCATATTTTAACTGCGAAAATTGTCATCAGTTTCAGTATTTTCTCGTGTAATTGTTTATACAAAGTCTTTCAATAAAAGACCTAACATCAGTGGTTTTACTCTGAACTACGCTATATTTATCTAGTCTTAAGGTTAATTGAATTCTATCAATTGAGTTGTAATGTAAACACTTACTTAATTGACTTGCATACATTGTGTGCACTGTATTGCAATGTTTTCAACATTTCGTGGTAGCTGACAAAAAAAGCCTCCTTGGTTTAGATTCTATATAGTTGTCACTCATCTGAAAGTCATATAGGTAATTTTGCTCCTTGCAGAATTTCATCCTGTGTTATTCAACTTGATCGATAGGACTCGATCAGCATTAAAGAACTAGGGAAATGTAATATTAGTTGCTAATCAGTGACTAGTCACTTTCAAATTTAGTGAATGAATTGTACAAAGTAAAGAAAAGACAAACTAAAAAGTAAATACTAATAATCATGTACTTTTGTCTATACAAACCTATAATTTGATAGTAATAGTAATAGTAGTATATTCATACACTAATTTTATATATAGTTTCATTGGTTTTAAGACTATAAAATAAGAAAGAAACTGTCAGTTGGCAAAGGTATCTAAAGTATACATATTTATTTGTTTGATGTTTTGTTTTTCTAAATAAAAACCCCCACTTAATTTGTTTTTATCCATTAGAAAATAGCATCATTGTAAGAAGAAAGATGGTAAACATTATTTTCACTATGATTTCATTGGTATATTACTGATGGATGATCTATTCATACATTTAGCTTGTTGACTTCTTTTTCAAAGTTCATTCTTTTGTGATTAAGTTGAGAGAACATAAAAAATGAATTTTGACCTTCTGTTGTGAGGTCCTGAGTCCTCACTGATGAGCAGTACCACACTAGGGTAAAACATCTGCCCAGTGCTTTGTGACTTTCAAAGGTTAACTGATTTAAATTGAGTCGTGATCTCAATAGAATAATCTTTGTTTCATTTTCGATGCTTAATTTTTTTATCCATTTTTAATAATTCATTTTACTCACAGAACTTCGTTTTCTTCAATTTCCATTGTATGTTCTGCTTCTTTGATAAGTTTTTTTTCATCTCTATTTCTTTCTTTCTCTCTAGACGGAAATTACTTAGCTCTTGGTTCACGAGATAATGTTATTTATGTATATAATGTGTTAGAACGTGGCTACAAATATAATCGTGTTGGACGATGCTGCGGTCATAGTAGTTTTATCCTGCATATTGATTGGTCTGTAGATGGGCGATTTTTACGTTCTGTATCAGGAGATTATGAAATACTGTTCTGGACTGCATTTGATTGTAGACAAGTAAGTGTATCTGTTTAGTAGTAGTATGTTACATTCCTTTTTAATTCAGTCAAATATATCATTCAATCTGTCTTTAGTTTTCACGTCATTGTATTCGATAATGGATGAATTTTCAGCCAGTACATTACAAATGGCTAATTAATTTTATAGAACTAATCTATTGAAGTCTTCGGCTAAAATAAATTATCTGTCTTCTCTAACCCTCTGAAAGGTTAAAAAAATCATTTTACAGAACTTGATAGTTCCTGGCTTGGGTGTTGATCTACAGCGTTTATCATACACTGATTACAGGGAAAACGTTCGTCACTATCGATAACTTCCGAGTGTCGTTTCAAGGTATATTTGTACCTGAACGTTTTGTTACATTTATTGCAATGAAAATTCACTTCTTGAATAAAACGTTTTAAGTAGTATAAAAAGTTGCTGCTGATTTTTTCTTGTTCAAAGTGTTAAAACGGGTTTTTTTGGTACTGATTGTCTCGCAATTTTGAGCCTGTACCTGGCAACCAACCAAAACAAAGCGGGTACTTATTATTTGCATTATCGCAATCCATGATAGAAGGCGTTTCGTTTTTTGGTCATTTTTGTTGGATTACAGGAATAATGGGAAGTTTCCTACGACGAAAATATCATTCCATCATGCTATGAACGTGTTAAGTGTAGCTCACTCGGTTATCATGGATGAAAAATTACAACATAACAAAAGACTTATGTCTAATTTATTTCGTAATGGAAATTGTTCCAAAATATCTACAATTGAGTAACCAAATAAACGAAAACAACCGTAATTACTAACTGCGATACATTCAGATGGCTTGACAACATTCAGTTTATCCCCAACATAATTCTAACATTAAACTTCTTTTTTTCTTTAAAGCGTTTATTTACTTAATGTAGATTGTTCCTACAATCTAAATTCCGATCGGCTTTATGTTACGAAAGGTCATTTTTTTAGCGCCAGTGAAAGCCCTCATTAAAGCACACTTTTAACTGGTTGTATATAAATGACTTATTTGTGTTTCTTTCTTGTCACGACATAATGCATTCCTATCGGTTATGAGTAACAAACGTTTATTAACAAGTGACCTGTTCTATTTATTATTCTATTTTGAAATGAATTAAAGAATGTTTATTTGTTATTGCAAATTGTATAGTTAACTAGTGGTCAGTTTAAGTTGAATTATGCTTTACTCGTTCTGTTTTGATTTTTACGGTTTGATTGTATCATCAATGTTACTTAAAGCCAAGTAACATTGCATAAATCTCCAAACAAAATTATAATGACTCACGATATATGATTTAACGAATACAAGTCTTATAAACAGAGGTGTATTGTGGCTAACAGTGGAATCCAGGACACGCATTTCGTCCTATTTACGACTCGTCAGCTTGATGTGCCTACATCCTAGAGTTGATGTTCATTACGGAACTCGAACTCAGGACCATTCGCTTCATCACCTCTGCTTATAATTCTTGTGACTTAAGGCAATTTATCGAGGCATTTCGCATAGGATACACATCTGTCAATAAGAGACTGATCAATTGCACTCCTAAACATCAATGGGGATATTCAAACAATCAATAGAAAAACGAATTCAAGTTTGTTGTAATAATGCATTTATTTCTCAGTGTTTATTGTTTCAGTCAAACTTTGTTAACAAGCAAGTTAAATAAGTTAAAGATGAAACGAAAGTCAGAAAAGTATCAGTTCATTGATAATTTATACCCTAGAAAGTTCTAGATTCTTCCTCTTTTACCTTTTAACTCTGATTAACTGAAAATGAGTCAACAAGCTGTAGCTCCTCGAAAAAAAAAACAATTCAATTTTGCACGAAAAGACTAATTCAGTTAGCGAGTTTTTGGTTACTGACGCAAAAGTGTTCTTAACAAAGTATACTACTCTAATGAATGAATATAAGTAAAGGCTTTATATCATCATTCACCTGATCTAAGAATAATGTGACTAACTTTATATGATCAAATTATTGTAAAAAATGAATGATTAATTCGATTGTTTCAAGTCTAGCTAACCATAAGTATGTAGTGTATGCTGCTTATGTTGACAGATATAAGAAGTATTGTAATGAACAAACACTCAGTTGGAGACAATCAATTGTATTTCAACACAAAATTACAGAGGATCTTGGTGAAATATATGAACCATACATTGAATACTTCATTTGCGAATTTTCATTGTTTGTCCTTCACATTCTGTATGATTTTTCAAGTTTACAGTTCATTTTTATTTTCCCTTATATTCACTTCAAATCGATCTTCTTAGCTTTCTGTTTCCAGGTTTTCCACTTTCGATTGGTATTGCATACTACTTGTGTCGACAGATATAAATAGTATACACCATAGTATGTAACACCAATGAGAAGTAGATTGCCTTTCAGCAGAAGGTTGAGAATTCACAATTGAAGAGAACAGAAAGGGAAAAAGAAATAAATCATAATAACAACAGAATAGAGGAAATCATAAAGCATGTGAAGGACAACTGAAGGGAAATATGCAAATTATGTATCTGATGTTTGGTTATCATTGTTTTACGAAAATACTCTTTAATTTTGCATTAAATAATAAATTGGTCTTTCCAACTAGACTACTTCGTCCACCTGTGTACAGCCACTACCAGAGAAGTCCTACCCACTGCCTTCTCACAGCATTTTTGTTGTTTACGAAATTCAGAGGAGGAAAAGCGAATGCTTGGCGCCTTAACGGGATTGGTGTATATGGAGGGTCCACCTATAGGAGTTGAAAACACTGATTCCCAACCAATGGTTAACATGGGCTACTGGATCCTGAGGGAACAAATGACGTATGAACCTATTGTTGGTCACCGGCTACCATCAGAGTAGATCTTCTAACGTTCCACTGTCTTGTGGATTAGACCTCTAGGTGGAAGGTCCGTTAAGCGCTCGCCTGCAAGACTGATAGTTCCTGAGGCCGAATCTCGCGAGATGGGATCGTGGATGCGCAGTACTGAGGAATCCCACAATGGGACGAAGCGACTGTCCAGTGCTTCCAGATCAGTTTTTATTAATACTGCACTTTGCAATTTGTCTGGTTTCTTAGTAAGCCTTTCTTTCATGTTAGTTAATGATTAATAAGGTGTTGACATCACAAATTTCTTCATTTAATGTAATAATTGTGTATATATTTTCCTATCTCTAATTTTCAAGGTTGTCTCACCTAGTACACTACGTGATTTAGAATGGGCTAGTCAAACATGTACACTTGGTTGGGAAGTAGCTGGAATTTGGCCATCTGATTCAGATGGTACTGATGTTAATGCTTGTGATCACAGTCCAACTGCTGATATTTTAGCTACTGGAGATGATTATGGAAAAGTTAAACTATTCAAATATCCAACTAATAAACCAAAGGTAAGATTTTTATTTTAGATACTAATTGTATATTTATTATAACTTGTGGTCTGAGTGCCCTGCTAATGGATAACGTAATAATACCTCCAATCAGAGAGCGGTGAATTATCAATTGGACCAAGGACGCGTAAAACACGTGCGAGCAGCCTAGAGTTCTGACTGGCCCTACTTTCCGCCTAGCCCAGCCAGTTCAGTCCAGAACGTCAATCTCAGCCTCTGCAATATGAATCATATATTTCATGCATACTGGGTTTATATACCAATCAAACAGACCACAACGTGCCATAAAATAGAAAATAACATTTGTACACGATCTAGCCAAGAGTGACTGTGAATGGGGGAGGTAGTGTTTAATAGACATAGAATAATTCAAGAATGGTAAGTCGTATCATAATAGTTCATAGGTCAAAATAAAGCTCATAATAAGAGGGACATGAATATGAATAGTTCAGTTACTTAACAACTATACAATAAAAATATACGTCTAGTATTGATCTATAAATGGATCCCAAAAGTTACCATTCATTATGCTTATCGGGACCTAACAATATTTGGTTCTTTTTTTGTATAAAAAATTCTGATTTGAAAGGAACTACATGTTGGAAAGATAGTTAAATGAATGGATAACATTCAATGAACTCCTGATATTGTCTGGTCTATTGAAAAATTTAATATATTTAGGTTCCAGAAATATTTTAGAAAGAAATGGGCCTTGTGACCTGTAAACATAAAAAAAGTGTTCTTATCCAAAAAGAAGTGATAATGAACACTTAAAGTTGATCATATGTGATATGGATTGTGTATCTTGATGTTGTGAAAGTATAACTTTTGAACAAAGCAACTATTAAGTTTACTCTAACTGTTGATGATAGTTGTTTAGTTAATATTAGTCTGTCAAAAAAGATATCATCTTTAATATTTATAACCTGAATTAAGTCAATTTAAAATGAACTATACATATTACATTACTGATAGGTCTTGCTAATTGAACGCTATATTTGGTGCCTAATCTATTCTCGTAACCCTCAAGCTAGAACTAAACAGCGACCTGTACACGAGAGAGGAGGCACAAAATATACGAGAAGCACTTTACTTCAACAGTTCGTTTTAGTACAGAAATTATACGGTTTTTATAATATTTTAGATGTCCTTAGGTTTCACGAAAATTCTGGAATGCTACTCAACATAGTAGTAGTGTAGTAATCAGCCAATCAGAGACTCTACATGTGACTTTTCACTTCCTTGATGTTTCTCTCCAAACTTCTATTGAACGCTGATTGGATAAAATGCTTCTTAGTTGTTTTTGGAAACTTTTTTGTCTTTTGCGAGACGTTTTCTGGATCACCCACTGGATCACTCACATATGATTGAGAGAAAACGTTATAACAATAAGGGACAAGATTCACAGATCACAATTCCACATTTAATACGATTCTAGATAAATCATTTAGTTTAAATACTAGTTCACTAGATTGGATACTGAATCAATGGATCATTTTACTTGATCTTATATAGGTGAATGATACAGTTGAGTCAGCTACCCGATAAAAAATCAATAACCAGACAGAATCTAGAAGGACAATTTAATAATACATTATAAAACGGCCAATAAATGGAATGAAAGTGAAAAAAAGGAACCAGTCCTACAGACAAATGACAGTCTTTTGTATTTCATGTAAACACATATGTCCATCTTTGCTCACTGGCTAATCATGACTTACTTTTTAGCTAGAACATCAGAAAACTACCATAATGTGTTCAGTAGTCTTGTTTTGATTCTAATTCAAAGTTTTCTCGTCGTTTCAATCTCCTGCCAGTTGAAATGGTACCAAACAAAGGGAGCCCATATGCACCATTAGTATTCGTTTGTAATCAGGGTTTATTCGCTTAACTCGCCTAGGTAGATACTGAATACCCAAGAACCCTGTTTAAGCTCTGGACATTCACTTTCCGTCTTCTCAGTTTCGCAAACAATAGAAATGCCGCGAGAATGCTGTGGGTAGAACTGCTGATATGGCGGGGGCGGTTCTAAAAATCCTCAACCGTACCAGAGCATTTACGGTATATATATATATATATATATATACCAATATGTACATGCCAGGGATCATGTTGAGTTTAAAACTGGATTCGTGTGTTACTCTAGAGAGGAACATTAGAATTGTGTACATCGATTTTAACAGATTAACAGCACAAATGCATTATAAATTATGTGTAATAAACAATCAAAACTGTAATCTCATCTAAAAATACATTCCAAATTCTCTCATTACTCTTATTTTCTTTATTTTAAACAAAGAAGTCATTTACTTGTTCGAATAGAATCGTGTCTAATCAACTTACGAAAATTATCCATAACCATTCATTCATGTGTTTATTCATCACACGACAAACCACATCATTATTGACATCAACCGATATTCTATTTGTTACGTCCTATATCCCGTTAAATATTGTGTTACGAAATCGCCAATGAGAGACTTCTATGACCTTGTGTTTGTGCTAAATCAACGATGTATCAACAAGCACTAACAGCCTTGAGTCAACTCTGAGTCCTTTGTATGGTAGCTTCTCACCTAACCTATCGTGTTCAGTTGAGAATACAGATATCAGCCTCCGCTATATGAATCGTATATTTCAGATATACATGGTTTATATACAAACAGACCAGACCCCATCACAACATGAAATAAAAAATAATTATTATACAAAATCAAGCCAAAAATTCCTGTGAGTGTGAGAGATTATAACGAATGGATTAAGAATAAGTTAAGATTGATAAATCGTATGACACTAGCTAATAAGTCAAATGAAGGTTTATGATAAAAAGAATACGAACATGTATATAATCTAGTTGCTTGATAATTACCCTATAAGAATATATGTATTATTAATAGTCCATAAATAATTCCTGGCAGTTACTATTCATTTATTCTTCGTTCTCTAGTTTGATTTCTGTCATATCGGTTAATACATATTTATGGTATCTATTTGACATTTTGACAGAATGTTCGTTCTAGTTGTCTAATTATATACGACTCTGATGAACATCCTATAAATAACACGTACATATATATATGAGTTTAAACAAATGAAAATCAGATGACACATATTGTGTTTATGTAATATCTGATGTTTGTAATCTAAAGTCCCCTTTTCGTTTTTACATTATCAATGGTTCTTTCAATTTTCTATATTATTATGTTTTTACGTTGAATGTATTTTGGTAGTGAATTCCTTCAAAAGGTGGTGGTTGGTTAGATATCAACATAATTGTGTCATCCTAATTGTTTTCAACTTGTTAACAATAGGGTATATGGATCAAGATTCTATATAGGATTGAATTTGAGGATATTTAAATCTTCTGATGAATAAAATGTTCTTAAATAACAGTTTAGTTCATTGAGTCTTTGATTGTTGGATTAGGTCATATTGATAGGTGTAGTCTATCAGGTTAGAGTCGTCCACATATATATCGTAATGGTTAGAAACGATGTGCCGTATAACTTAGAATCTTATATTATTTTTGTATACTAATTAAACACATAAACATTCCTACAAGGAGGCCACACAAATCATTCGATTTGTGTGAATGTTGGGATACTGACCAGGTGCCCAAACCGAAACAGGTAGTTTTCTTAGGAGACGACTCTACGGACCTTTCGCCTAGAGGTCTAATCTATAAGGCAGTGGAACAGCGTTAGGAGATGCAGTCGCATGGTAACCAGTGACTAACGATGGGTTCATAGGTCAATTTTTCTCTCAGGATCCTGTAGCCCATGTTAACCATTGATTTGGAATCAGGGTTTTCCAACTCCACCATGGTAGATCCTCCATATCCACCAACCTGGTTAGGGCGCCGAACTTTCGCTTTTCGTCCTCTGAATTTCGTAAACAATAGTAATGCCGTTCGTGACTGTATACAGGTGGCGATGTGAGAGTGTTTCGAGAGAGAGAAAGAGAATTTTCCTTACGCTTGACAGTTTCAGGTCATTTGAGTGTTCTAGTTTGTCTTAATGCATTCACCATGTATTTTTGTAGGTCATGATTTCTAAAGTTTCCTATTCTACGAATTCATTCTTCTCGAATAAAAATTGTTGGTCTCTAATCTTGTTTATTAACACTGATACTGTTACTATTTCTACTTCTTTGGTATTCCTTTTGGTGTGTTTTATGGTGTCAGAACTTGAACTATTGTATGTGTCAAATCGTTTGTTGCTCAAGATTGAGTGACTGAACTGAAGCCCATCATTTCGTATTTCCAACTTTTGTATATTCAAAATATAGTTAACATTATAGATTAAAATGATTTACACCTAAACTGGAAAGAATCTGTCTCAAATCTTATCATTGGTTGTCTAGGTAAAAATCAAGGTAATAATGATGATAATAACAAGTCATGTACACCATTGTAGTTCAAGTAACCGTTTTTTTTACTTTGAGAGCTAGCGGTACTACTATTACCTAAACTTCCAGACTGTGAAGTAATTGGATGTTTTGTCGTTTAGTTGTGCACTTTAATAACTACTCAATATCAAGTTGTGTAATTACTTGATCAAGTAATTTTGCCTATTAATTAATTTATTTATGATATGTGTGACTGCGTAAATATTAACTTTTCACTTGAAATTATAAGAAAGGATTGTTTTGATACTGGTTATTTAATCGATTCTTGACTGTGTTATCCTATGGTATCCGGTGATCAAGAATAACTTCATACTTCCTTTATTTCCTCAGAATCTCAAAGCTCATATGCACCATTAGTATTGGTTAGTAAACAGGGTTTCCTAACTCTTCTAAGTGTATACTGTGTACCCACAAACCCTGTTTAAGCGCTGTAAATTCACTTTCCGTTTTCTCATTTTCATAAACAATAGTGATGCTACGAGAAAGCAGTAAGTAGAACTTCCTTATGAGTGACTATATACACATGGTCAAATAAGAGAATTTCGATAGGGATATTTAACCCTACCCACCATCAATATACTTGGGTACTTTGATTATTCACACATTGAAGTAGTTGTGAATTTGTTGCAAATTTTCATTTGTTTAACGACTAAATAAATCATACAGTTTCAGATGAGGTGAATCCAAAGGTTTAATTTAAATAATAATAATAATAATAATAATAATAATAATAATAATAATAATAATAAACAAGCTCATATTAATCACCTTTATCATTACATCAATTCTCTCTTATCGTTTTCTATTTCAGGCTGAATTTCGTGCTTATAATGGTCATTCAAGTCATGTGACAAATGTAACATTTTTATATGATGGATCTAGATTAATATCTATTGGGGGCAAAGATACAGCTGTATTACAATGGGAAGTATGTATTTAACACATGATATTATATGATAAATACATATTCATCATTTATTTAATCAGTTTCTTCTTCTTCTTCTTCTTCTTCAGTATTGTTCATAGTTATTATTCTCATTTTCTATTCATACTCTCACCATATCATCCATCTACAACTCAATGATACGTTTGAGAGCAATAAAAATAAAAAAGAGTCATTCTAATGCTGTCTGTATGGTTTTCTGATGCCTTCAAATTTAAATGTATTTGTCATAATCATTCATTATTCATAAAGTATGATCATGTCTGTGTGCAATACATTTACAATTACCAGAAGAATACCATTTAGTATAGTTAATTTATTGTTATAGTCGATAACCCCTCTTCTTATTAAAATTATTAACATGTTTGTTTTGCTAATGTTACTATTTCTCTCCACCCCAACCCCCGAAAAACGCTTGTTTTTTTCTTTTTTACAAATATACCATATTATTAAATTGTTTATTTATTTTTAAAAAAATAAACTGCATCGTTTCCTCGTGATAAAACAGAGAAATATATGCTACTACTGTTTACTCACCTACCCACCTACCTATCTGTCTATCTGCTTACTTACTTGTCTCTTTTCATACTTATCGATGATTTTTCTTCTTTGCTCATTTTCTCTTTTTTGTTTTCTTTCTTATTTTATCATCATTTGTGACATTTTAGTTTTGTTAATTTGAGTAAAAATAATTGTCAATTTTTTGTTTACATGAAGCGAGTATTATTATTATTATTATTATTATTATTAAAATCCCTGTATTTGTGAAGTCGATTATTTCTGTTTCCTGAAGTTTTACACTAATGATGTTTATGTGTTATTAAAATGGGGAAAAAAACCTTGGGAATGTACACATACACGCACATACACACACACAAATACATTGGCAAAACTACATATTACACACTAAATGTATTGACTGTTATATTGACTTCTATCAATGTTGACAACATTCGATAAAAGAATGAAACAAAACAAAAAAGGTAATTAACAATGTTTTTTCACAGGTTCTATTTTCTGTTTCTTTAAAATTTCAAACGTTTACTGTTTACTATCTACATTCCACTCTATTTCCTTCTATTACTTTATACAGGCATATAGAGATTTGATTTTAAATGCATTCATTGTTTGTATTTTTAATAATAATAATGATAATGAGGAGGAGGAGAACAAGATTTTTCTTTGTGTGGCTTCTTGTTTGTTTTCTTCATAAGTTCTAATCTTTCTTCTCTATCGATATTGTGTGTAAATGGGTGAATTGTTATAAATGAATGGAGTATGGTTTTCAGTCCTCTTCCTTCTTCTTCTTCTTCTCTTTGTGGTTATTGGTTTATATACAGAAAGATGTTTTAAAACAATTCATTATTCTAGTAATATTACATTTATATATATATATATATATATATATATATATATATATATATATATATATATATATCTTGTATTCATAAATTATGGCTAAGAAAATGTCATAGATAGTTTTCCTTGGTGCCTGTGTATGTACTACTTAATTTCACTACTATTTATCGACACCATATATATATATATATATATATATATATATATATATATATATATATATATATATAGACAGATAGATGGATTTCTTGACTTTAATTAATGTTTCCTTCTATAGTTTATTTATTTCATTGTTTGTTCTTGACATTGTCGACTGCATGTCTTCTTCATACTATACATACACAAATAGATAGATAGATAGATCAGGTTTATGTGGATCAATTTCACTTGTGTTTTCCTCTTTTGATGTTCATTGTTCTTTCATTGATTATAACATTGAATTTTGAATTTGTGCATAATTTGTTTAAATAATGCTCATTTGATCTTTTAAAAATGAAATAAATTATTTTTTCTCCTATAGTATAATGGATGTATTCTGTTAGTGGTTATTACTTGTAGTTAAGTTTGTTGATCTGTGAAGTTTAAAACTATGTATTCAATATTGATTATAGTTGGAAATATAAACCTTTGGATATTAAAATAATGATCTAGGATTGTAACTTACTTCTTTAAAGACTTGAAGATCTTAGGTTCATCATATTTAAGAGGATCCAGAGTACACTCTGTTAATGAGGGCTGAACGTAAATCGTTTTCAAAAGACTATATGATATGAAATTTCACAAAACCAGTCTTGTTCACAAGCTGTTAGATGCTAAGGTAAATATATACAAGTATGATATCGTTACAGAGTATTTCCTGTTAAGTAAGCGTTGTGTTTGACAAATATTAATTAATTTAGCTTCTAAACATCGTTCCAGTAAATAGATATCGAACAAGCGACAAAATACCTACTTTAACAATAGCTTTGCCTTGAACGTACATAAGTTTTGGTTAGTAAGTTATAAATATTAGTTCAAATCATTCTGAATGTTGCTGTAATCTAACGAAAGAGGGCCTCCAAATGCCCTAGTACGGTCGAGAGTTGGGAGAGTCAGCCCTCGCTCTCAAAATGCTCTCACATGGCCATGTGCATATAACCACTTCCAGGGAAGTCCTGCTCACTGTCTTATCGCGGCGGAGGTGTTGTTTACGAAACTGAGAGGACGGAAAGCGAATGTCCGACGCTTTAGCCGGATCAGTGGACACAGAGAGTCCACCTAGAAGAGTTAGAAAACCCTGATTTTAAATCAATGATGGACATAAGCTCCAGGATGTTAAAGGAACAAATGCCGCATGAACATATTGTTGGTCACCGGCTACAATGGGACTGCATCTCCTTACGCTGCTCCACTGCCTTGTGGATCAGACCTTTAGGTCGAAGGCTCCGGGCGTGGTCCTCTAAGAAAACCACCTGCTTCTGTTTGGGCACCCGTAGAGTATCCCATCCCTCACATATATCGGATGATTTATGTGGCGTATATCTATTTGGTGCCTCCTTGTACAAATGTTTGTGCTTAAATAAATAAATTGTTATAGGATATCGCTTACTGATACTGTATAGCAGAATTTATACTGGTTTAATAAATGAATAGTCTATCGAAAATTTGGATTAAAATTGTACTGTAGAGCTTCCGGATACTACATTTGCGACAAGAGTGATTGTGCAATGGATCTAGAAGTGTGACGTCTACAATACTTTTGCATATCTTTCTTCAACCAATACGCAACCTACTAGTAGTATATAAAGTACCCGAAAATTCTATGATATGCTCTTATTTTATCTCTTGAATAGACAAATAGGATTCATTAAATCACTGTAAATTCTAATGCACAGTTTCTGTAAATGATATCAATAATGAAAATTTATTCTAATAATTGAATTCATGAGTCAATATAAACTAGATCACCATTGAAAACCTGGAAGCACTGGATGATTGTTTCGTTCTAGTATGGGACTTATCATCAGTTCGTATCCACGATCTCGCATATGGGACTCGAACCCATGACCTTCGATCTAGCTTACATTAACTCATGAATTCAACAATTAAAATCATTACAATCTCCACAAACCACCATTCACCAAATTGTCTTGTTAAGTTCTTTCTCAAATTGTTCCCATGTACTCACTTCACTAAATATTTGTAATTTCTTTTCTGTATTATGTAATAAGTCAAGCTATATTATTATATCATTAAAAGAAATAAGTCAATCCCATTAGGAAAATGGAACATTTGCTATTAAGGCTTGTCTACAGTTCAATAATTCTTAACGCATGTAGAAAAATTAATGAAGTCACGATATTAGTTAATTAAATATGAAAGAAAACTTTTTTACGTCTGACTCTGTAGTGAACACGAATGGGAACAACCGAATGTATTTGAACACGAAATTACAGAATATCTCACTAAAATCTGAGACCCATACAGTAAACACTTCATTTGTAAAATATCAATCCATTGTCACAAACTTGACTGTTTCTTTTGCAAATATCAGTCCATCGTCTGAGATTTCATTGTTCCTGTATTTTCATGCCAATTGCATTCCGTTCCTGTTCTTTCTTTCTCGATGTTCTACTGAAATACAATCTATTCCTGACTATCGTTATATACTACTTATGTGGATATAAGTAGCTCACAACACAGTTCCATTTTAGTTCTTCAATTTTTACACTTATGAATCTCAATACTAAAACTAAAGATCTGTTAATTGTCAGAATAACTTACAATGATTTACTTTACCTGTAGTTAACATTAACAGATTAGAGTTAATTAAATAAGTATTGTAAACCAGGATGTACTGAATAGCTGTTTCATTTTAATTTGGAACTTCTTTTAACATGGATTCATGGAATTCTGGAAAGAATTTATGACTAATAGAATTCAACCTTCGTTACCGCGTGTCGAACGTTTACCTTCTAGACCCCTAAATTAGTATCCAACGTTTTTAACTTCAGTCATTCCGTTATATTGCTCACTCTTCATCCACTGATTGTAGTGGATAACTATCTCAACTCCACTGGTCACGGCTTCTCACTAGAACTCCACGAGTTGCATTTTGAAGCTAGTGAGCAGATGATAATTATATGTATAAGGCTATGGAAAATTCAAATGTATCGGAATTGAGACAAGTGTCACTCCTTGAACTGAGTAACTACTCTGCTAAGCAGTTTTATACTCGGCCGAAGCACCTGTATGTTGCTTCCAGGTTTCACAATGAATTTACTGTGTAATTTTTATTACGTTAAATCATTTCTCTGCTATTTGTCATCGTATCATTGTAATGCTTGAGCTCCCTACTATTTGAACCATTAATAAGTTTGGACACTTGTATTCGATACCTGACTTTATAATATTAGTCACCTAAACAACAGTAAATTTATTGGCAGTTTAGTTATTTAACTTTGTCGTACTACTTTTTTTAAAAACCAAGTGGACAGTTTTCTCGGTGTTTTTTGTACTTACCTGGAGATTCAAGTTTAGTAATCAATATCACTCCCTCTTTATCAGTAGTGATTAAAATCAATTTTTCAGAAATCTAATTGGATTACACCTTTGTTAAATCCGTGTAAAGCTATGAACGTTAGTTCCTTGACTCATGTATTACTCATTAGTAGGGTACCAATTTAAACAAGGTCAACTACAGTACTGTTCTACAATCGATGATACACCCATTTTCCAATTGTAAGCTTCAGTTATCATTCACTGGCGAGACTATAATTCATGAACGATCCAATCAGATATAAGATAACAGGTCATTGATTTTGGCACGAACTTCATTCATCCATCTGGCTAGATAGTGTCTTGGCATTTTAGCCGATGTCAAATCGTGATGAAAACTCTAGATCTAGTTCTTAACCCTAACCATCAACTGTTAATCATAATTCCAATTATTCACACTACTTTATAACCGTCATTTAGTCCTAGTCAACAGGTGGACATTCTCAGGGTCACCTTAGCGTCGCCCAAATGCTCGTCCATAAATTATAATCTACTAGATGTCTCATTATCAATCAATTAATACCCTCTAACTATATGAATGTTTGACTTGTTTATTTTTGTTGTTATTTATGTTAAGAACAGGTATGTAAATATAAAAATTCAATATTTTCTCATCAAATCTGAAATCATGTTGATTTCTTATTTGTTCTCTCTTATAGACATTTTTTCTCTCATTCGATCATTGAAATTAAGTAACATGTTATTAACACTTTAATTGTACATCTATGTTACCTGGGTAATTGATTATTGATTATGGTGATTAATTTTAAGCATATGTATATATCAGAAATGGGTTTTTGTGGATATTATAAAAGTTGAATAGTTGAATTCACGAGTCAATTGAAGCTAGACCA